CAACTCAGCCATCTTTACTCGTTTTGATATTTTAAATGATATTTTGGGCTGAGCATCATGTTTTACTATTGCCCGTGCGGCTTGTGAGATTCTGACTGAGTAAGGCCGAGGGCCTGTGATGTGAGGATACTATGGGATCGGGCTGAGCGCCGCAGCATGTGGTACTGACTGTGATATATGAGAGGCCGAGGGCCAGGTTTGTTATGCCACGAGGCTGCTTGAGATTGATATGAGGCCGAGAGCCTGTTTGATTATGCCACGAGATGGCTTGTTATTGCGCTTGGGCCGTAAGGGGCCCCTCCCGGAGTCTGTACACCCCCAGTGAGCGCGGGTACCCAGTTTGTGATGTGATAAAGCACGAGTGGCTGATATTGTTCCATGTTATTGCCCGAGGGGCTGATACAAGTGGTGGTGAGATAGCCCGAGGGGCTGGTTTCTGTTGGTATTTTTCCCGAGGGGCTGATTTGTGTTTCCATCTTTTATCCCTGTTTTCATTCATTCATTTGAATTGCTAAAATATGTTTTAAAGATATTTTACTGAACTAAGAAGTTTTCATGAGCTTTTACTGTTTTACTGTATTGTTCTGGTTTCACACTGCCTCGTTGTAGTGTTTTGCTGTGTATTTACCTATTTTCTTATCACTCGGCTGCCTTTACTTTTATTACTTACTGAGTTGGTGTACTCACATTACTCCCTGCACCCCTGTGTGCAGATTCAGGAGTCTCGGGTCACGCTAGCGAGGGCTAATTTGCTTCCAGCAGGCTTGTTTGGAGTTGACTAGGTAACTGCTCGGCGTTCGCAGCCCAATACTTCTCCTTCCTACTTTTATTTCGTTTGTTCTAGTTTCGTATTAGACTATGTTGTCTTTTCATACTCTTAGACGGATTTTAGATGCTCATGATTGGTGACATCCTGATGTCGGGCTGTGTTTGTTTCCGCATGTATTTTATTTCGCTCTATTTTGGGATTTATCACCTATTAATGACTTAATTAATTACTATTATAACTGTCAATTGGTTTGGGGGTTTTGTGTCGGCTAGCCCTGTTTCACGAGAAGCGCCATCACGGCCGGTTCAGGTTTGGGGTCGTGACAAGTCGGGGGTGTGGTAACAAAGGAATGGTGGCTTCTTCACTAGATATACATCTTTATCATCCTCTTCTTCTTCAAACTCGGGGGCTTCAACATTCTTCCTTTTTGAAAAGGACACACTCAGAATTTGATCTTGTGCAGTGCTGACAGAAAGCCTAGCAGTAGGAATAGAAGCGGGACTGATGCCACGAACAAAAAATCCTAGAGACAACCACAAATGTTAGAGTAAAAGAAGATACAATAAGGGAAAATTCATGGTAATGAAAGAATACCATGGGTTTTCACTTTCCACCCAAACTTTTGGGAGAGTAATTTCCAAGACTTGGTTCCTTACGAGCCGCGGTCAATATTTTTTCTACCCAATCACGAAAGTCGGGAAGTTCACCAAGAACTTCCATGATTGCTGCAAAGTAAGAAATGCGCATGAGAAAGATGAAACCCTAAGAGAAGCGGAAAAAGTTTAAAAAAAAATACTCACATTCAAAGTTCCACTTCCCGGGGAAAGGCATGTTTTCATCACCCATTAAATCTCGAGTGGGAATAGCCACGAATCGAGTGTACCAGCCACGGTCACGATCATCCTTGGAGATGACTAAAACTCTTTTGCTTTTCGCCACAAGTGAAAAAAACACCTTTGTGAAAGAGCTTCGGAGAATTGAAATGGAGTAAGTGTTGAAAAGTGAAAGGGGTTGAAACTAAGCTTGACAGATAACGAAGGCAAGCTACTGCCCTTAACATTAACGGACCTATTTGTCCAAGACATACATTGAAGTAACGACAAAACTCAATGGTTACTAGGTCGATAGGTTGTTTGAATCCTAAGGTAAAAGGGTAAGTGTAAACAAATGAATAACCTTCACGATACGAGATTATTCGATCATCAGCCCTAGGAGCTACCACAAGGAAATCATGTTTCCAGCTGCATTCACGACGAACTAGGGGAAGAAGACCAGGAGTGATCAAAGTAGGGTAACGATCGGCAGGGTCAAATGATGTTATAGAAGAAACTTATTTTCTCATAGCCTTATATTCTGATATAAAAGAAAATTCGTGAGGAACAATTTCAGACACAATGGATTCTTACAACGGTTCATTATGATCTTTACCTCTAGAGGAAGATCTAGGAGTTTGGCGAAGTTCTTGCTTTGGAAGAAGAAGGTTTTGCAGTATTCTTCTAGGAAGGGTTAGAGCTACGACTTGATAAAGAACCTATGCTACGATGTCTACCTCCTCTTCTAATCCTAATTACGGCATAAGAGAGAGGAAGTTTATCAATAATAACTACTTTACGAGGGTCTGATGATGAAGAAGGATATGAAGAACGGGAAATCATCTTTTAATGGTGAAAGCACGAAGAGAGGGAGAAATTGTTGAAGGAGTTGGAGTATGAATGCAAGAAAGTCGAAGAAATTTTTGAGTGGTTTATGATGCAGTATTTATAAAGAAAAAATCGTCATTATGTACGGTCATCATGGAACTGTCACTTCGAACTTATGTAGCCGCAGAAAACCCTAAAAAGATGTTATAAACTGTAGATCCAATTACAATGAGACATGTGTCTCGGGCATTAAATAGAAAGGACATATGTCTCATCACTTCTGAATAAAACATCATGATGGTTGGGAAGAGGCGGCAAGGCACTCCCGCCATAAATGAACTAACCACTTCCTGAATATTCAATTTAGAATATTCAGAAAATGGGGGGATTATTTGTATTGGTGGAAAAATAGGCATGACACGTTGATTAATAGTTTGATGACAGGTGGCATCTCTATCGGGGCAATAAAAAGGGATGATGAGGCGCGGTTAAAATACCCACGGTATGTATGAAAGAAGGTACCGTACCTGACACCTGGGAAAACAAATAGGCACGGGATGCATAAAGACCATAAAAGGGGAAGATTCATGAATCAATTATCAATATGAAAAGGGAATCAACATTATCCATGATTATACGCGATCACGTGTTATTACCATAACCTTTACGAGTAGTTTAATAACGGGCAATTAATGCAACTAATATTAGTAACATGTAAGAATTAAGTATGGGGAACCGTTGCATCTATGTATCCTTATATAAGGACTCTTACCTTATTTTGTACGATCATCACAATATTCTCAAATATATGCAATCAGTCTTTTACTTTTACTTGATTGAAGATTCGAATCCATAATTCTGAGAGAAAACAACGATCATCAATAAGATTTTTTTGTCTCTTCATTTATCATTTCAATTATTTGTTTTATTCTTGCATTTTTAGAAAAGTGAAGTAAATTTGATTATTAGAAACCTGATTGTCTTTAATATTGACTTTGGCCACAAAAATTATATTTTGGTAAAACAAAATATATTTCAGCAATTGTGTTCCATGGCTTATGTGTTCAGCATTGTTGTGGCTATGATGGGTGTTGGAGGATAAATGAATGACGTGTTGTTGTTGGTGATTTAGGAAACAAATTAGAAATTTTGAGAAGTAAAAAAGGCACATTATTCTATAATAGTAGACAAGTCCCATCCCTCTTCGTCATCATCCCGTTTCCACTGCCCCATCCTTGATCCACCAGCAGTGTCACGATCCAAATTCCACAAAGATCGTGATGATAGACTAACCAGCTTGCTAAGAAAGCCAACACTCAACAACAATAATAGAATTCAATTATTAAGTTATTAACTAATTCATGATATAAATAGCAAGGCGGAATAAGTCATAACTCAATATCAAAAGTACATGAATCCCAAATGTCACGACCCAAAATCCAACTAGTCGTGATGGCACCTAACCCAACCCTCTAGGTAAGCCAACTAATAACAATCCAATTCAATGTGATTTACTGAGAAAATAACTGAACTTTTATACACTTTCCAAGGACTAATAGTATAAATCATGAGCTTTTATGATTTAGAGTTCACAAAGCTGGTATGAAATAAACACATCATCTGTCTGAAATATACATGAACAGGTTGATAATTCTAAAGCTACCAAGAACAAGAGGCAGCGATTATTGGAACGCGGCTACATCTTCAATGTCAACTCCCGCCATGCACAACAATATCAACACCCAAAATCTGCACGCAAGGTGCAGAAGTGTAGTATGAGTACAACCAACCCCATGTACTCAATAAGTAACAAACCTAATCTTAGGTTGAAAGTAGTGGCGAGCTGGGACAAAGGTTAGAGTCCAACACCAATAGCCAACAACAACTCATAATGATATAATAAAAGTGGTACAAGAAATAACTCAGAGATATGATGCTCAGCTAGTTCACAGTTACTGAAAATAGTCATGCTTCTCAAGTATAACAGTAAAACCCATTTCCTTCACCGAAATTACCAAAATATGAGTAAGTCAGAAAACTGTGATATTTCCCAAAAACTTTCAACAATAAGTAAGATGTTTCATCATCAACAACCAAAATCATCTTATGAACATGATTGGATTTGGAAATTAAAATTACCTCCAAAAATAATACATTTCCTTTGGCTAATCTCACACCAAAGATTAGCCACAGCTTCTTACCTCTACCACATAAATGTCACACAATCCAATACGTGTAATCTTTGTCTTCACACTGCAGAAACAATTAATCATCTACTTTTCTAATGCCCTATAATGACCAATATTTGGTCCCAATAGAGAATTGACACTGCTTTAAATACTTGTGACATACAACTCCTATCACCCATCAAAATCATACACTATTTAATAGCTAACACTAACAGCCTCCCGTTCAAGTTGCCATCACGCATTCTTATATCACACATAGTATGGCATATTTGGAAGCTAAGGAACCACTATCTTTTTAATAGGAACTCACACACAAGTCCTTCAACACAGCAGATGATAACACAAGCAGTTGAATATCACTACCTTATTCAACAAAATACACAACCATAACCACGCACACATATGTATGTCAAATGGCATCCACCACCTTTAGGTAAAATTAAGTTAAACACTGATGGAGCAGCCAAAACCAATACATCTAAAAATGGTATAGGAGGAGTATTCCTAAATACAATGGGACAATGCTTACTGGGATTCATGGGTAAATGTTCTACCTGTAATTCCACCTATATGGAATTAAATGCATTATTACAGGGTTTGCAACTAGCATGGCTTCATCAACTCATTCCACTGGAAGTGAACAGGGATTCTACTGAGGTAATATCAATGCTTAGCAATGAAAATATGCACTACTCATCCACATTAATGGAATGCAGGTACTTAATACAGCAGCTGGGTAATCCTCCGGTTATCCACACATACAGGGAGCAAAACTACGTTGCACATACTCTCGCTCAACATGGTTCATCTGGTGATGCCAGTGACTACACAACAATCTTCACCCAGGCACCGTCCTTTTTGCTACCACACCTTTTGGCTGATCAACAAGGCTCTGCATACCCAAGATTAGTGAAGTCTCCTTGCACAACAAACTTTTCCTACAATCCCACCTTTTTGGAATGTGATCACTCCAACGATCAACATTTTGATTGTAGTTTTTGTAATGTATTGCAATAAGCTCCTTGTAATGACACAATTTAAATCAATATAATTTCGTTTGATGCCCAAAAAAAAAGAGGAAAGTACATCTCTCTGCCTACATGTCAATGTGCATGTGGAGTCATAAATATCACAAAATCGTGTAACATGAGGAAATGCATCTTTGCATGTATATCAAGTATGCATGTCAGATGCAATGCGTCACAGCGATGAACTCATGTACTCACACACTTAGAGTACTCAATATTACAGTATCACACTCCCACACATCACGCTCAATCATTCATCACACTCAGTCATAAACACTTTACGATACCTGTTGCGGCGCGCAGCCTGATCCTATTATGAATCGATAATAACTGTGCTCACCGTGGGTGTACAGACTCCAAATGGGCAGATCCAACACAAGCGCTAATAAATCCTACTCCAGCAGACAGCCCGATCCCATCATGAATCAATAATATTTGTTGTGGCGTGTAGCCTGATCCCATCATAAGTCAATAATACCTGATGCGGAATACAACCCGATCCCATCATGAATTAATAATACTTGCTGCGACATGCAGCCCGATCCCATCAATATCACTCATAATTCGGCTCTCAGGCCCCGACTCAGTCATCAATCGCTCCAGTCTCCCGAGCTCACAATGTCATGAGAATCATCCCAAAAATGATGATATAATGTATCAATAAATGGCAACAGAGACTGAAATATGATATGCAAATGAATGAGTATGACTGAGTATGTAATTGCTATGTAAACAAATAACTCAATAGCAGAAATGACCTCAGTGGGTCCCAACAGGATAAGCATATAGCCTAGACATGGTTTCTAGAATGGATCATAGCTCAATTACTCTAGCACGTAGAAATTTCATGAATAGAAACAAATTTAGGTCTCTACACAGTACTGCAGAATCAATCGAGTCATAATTCACATGGTGCACGCCCACACGCCTGTCACCTAGCATATGCATCACCTAAACTCCAAACACATAACACGTATATCAGGGGTTCGTACCCTCAGCGCCAAGTTTAGAAGTGTTACTTACCTCGAGCAAGCCGAATCCAATACCGAGCAAGCCAACCGATGCTTCAAATATGTCATCCCGCGTGTACCGACTTCCAAACGGCTCAAAACTATCCAAAAGCAACTCAAGAACATCAAATAATGCCAAAGGAAACAAACCTAATCGATAAAGTTCGAATCTTTAATCAAAAGCCCAAAGTCAACCAAAAAGTCAAACCTGGGCCCGCACCTCGGAACCCAACAAAACTCACAAAATCCGACAACCCATTCAATTACAAGTCCAACCATATTAGTTTCACTCAAATTTGACTCCGAATCGATGCTCAAAACTCGAGAATTCACTTTATGAAATTTTAGATAAAACCCCCTAATTTCTCTTTTGAAATCATCAACCAATTGCCAGAAATGAAGATAGATTCATGAAATATAATCAAAACCGAGTAGGGAACACTTGCCCAATCCATATGGTGAAAATCGCTTCAAAGATTATCTCAATACGAGCTCTATAGCTCCAAATCTGCAAAAATAACTGAAATCCCCCAAATTAGAGTACTTATAATCACTGGGAGAATCAATGAATCGCGATAGTGAAACTACCTTCGCGAAGAAGAAAAAGCATTGCCCCGAAAATACTATATGCGATTGCGGAACAAATATCACGATGGCGAAAAACAAAAGCCACTGCGACAAAGAAAAATTCTACACGTTCGCGACACTAGCAATGGGAACGCGAAGCACACAGGTGCCCAACCTTCACGAACTCGTCTCCTCTTACGCGAAAGCGTAGAAGAAGCTTCAACTCCCAGCTCTCAGCTCAGCTTAGTCGAACGCGATATCTCTTATACGAACGCGGTGCCCAATCTCCAGCAACCTTCGCGAACGCGGCCAATTATTCGTGAATGCGAAGAAGAAATACTCCGCTCCAGATTCATCCTCGACGCGATTGCACCTCTAACTTTGCGATCCCGAAGAACACTTGGTGCACCAGACATCAGCAGGAACCAGCAATGCAATTATGAAGAAAAATGGTTCGAAATTGATCTGAATCACGCCCGAGCCCCTCGAGACTCTGTCCGAACATTCCAACAAGTCCCATAGCATAACACAAACCTTCTCGAGGTATCAAATCACGCATAACAACATCAAAACCATGAATCGCACCTCAAATCGAACCTAATGAACTTTGAATATTTCAACTTCCAAAACTCGTGCCGAACCTTATCAAATCAACCCGGATGAACTCAAATTTTACGCACAAGTCCCAAATGGAATAACAAAGCTATTCCGATTCTCGAAACCATAATCTGAATCCGATATCCTCAAAGTCAACTCCCGGTCAAACTTACAAGCTTTCGAAACCTTCAAATTTTTAACTTTCGCCAATTAGCACCGAAACCTTCTAGAAATATCCAAATGCAAATTCGGGCATACACCATAGTCCAAAATCACCATCTGGACCTAACGAAAGCATCAAAACTCTAATTCAAGGTCAAATACTAAAAAAATCAAACTTGGTCAACTCTTCCAACTCTAAAGCTTCAATCATGAAATTCATTCTTCCAAATCAATTTCGAATAACCTAAAAACCAAAACCGATGATTAACACAAGTCATAATACATCATACGATGTTGCTCAAGACTTCAAATAGCTGAAGGAATGCAAATGCATAAAACGACCGTGCGGGTCGTTACAACAAACAAGGTCTAAACACGACCACAACCGTCTCACAAACTCTTCAAAAGCTTATGTCATAGCATTGTCACGAGCATCTAACAAGAGTACAAAACCTCAAGTGAATACGACATTTATTTGGATTTAAAAATAAATAGATAGATGTAAATAAGTAGGAAATGGGAACTCCATGTATTGTCGGATCAGGTAAAGCAGCTAACCACGAAATCTCCAAATAACACTCCTACTCACCTCAAAGAGTACCGCTAACACCAGCCTCAGAACCAGCACAAAAATATGCAGAAATATAGTGTGAGTACAAAACCATAGTACTTAGTAAGTATCAAGTCTAGCCTCGAAGAAGTAGTGGCGAAGGGTCGACACTGACACGTACTAATAGCTCAATAAACATATGAAACATAATTAGAGCATGTATTAAAGCATCATATCATAAAGCAAGTCCACCAGTAGGAACATAACAAATCTGGAATGAGATAGAATACAATATCAGTTATCTCAATTCTATTCAACATTCATATATATATATATATATATATATATATATATATTATATATATATATATGTGTGTGTGTGTGTGTGTGTGTGTGTAGAGACACACACACATACAAAAGAGCCACTGCATGAGTCTAGGCTATCAATGCATGCTCATGATCCAAAACCAAACCTTACTGTACAATCTATACATCCAACTAATGTTTGGCCAAAACGATATACTTTTAGTACATTACTCGCCTTATATTTTGTTGGTTTATTGATTAATTGTACGACCATTGAGCTAAATTATGTTGCTTTATGTGTAGGAGCATCGAAAGAAAGAGTCGAATGAAAGTTGCACGAAAAGAGGACGAAAATGCAAGAACGGAGCATAAAAACACAAAGTACCCGAGCCTAGCTACAGGACAAGCGTAGCCAACTCTATAGCCATCTTGACCGCGCTACAGGCTAGGCGTAGATAGCTCAAAAGCCAGGTTAGCTACCCTATAAGCCTGGCCTAGCGAGGTGTGTATCCCGGTGGTCAAAAGTTCGCAAATTAAAAGACTCTGACCTGGATTTGGACTCAAGGACTTCAACCCTTGACTATAAATACTCCCTAAACATGTCCAAGAGTGTGGGGCATTTTTGTGAGGGGATTAAACCTAAGGAGGAAAGAACACGCTATGAGAAAGGCCAAGAATTCTTCTACGATTTTTTTACTTTCTTCTTCCTATTTCTATTATTGGTTATGCATTTTAGCATTGTAGTTTTACATACTATTATGAGCTAATTTGTTATCTAGGGCTTTGATGGAACCTTTTGTAGGATAAATTCTTGTTATGTTTTTATATAATTGAACGGTTGTATTTCTCTACTTGTTCAACTACGTGTTTATTGTTGTTGATTGAATGACCATCAATTGACGGTGTCTATTTAGTGTGTATTTCTTAAGAAAGGGCACATATTTAGGTATTTGTTGAGCAACTTCACTCCTAACGTATGTGAGAGATCAATACGGAGGGAAGGTCGGATTAGAGATAACAAAACCTTAGTGCGATCGTAGTGAGTGGTGAATTGGTGCCAGCAAGCGTATTTTGAGAGAATGTGTCTAGTACATTATGATAGTTTCTCGAGAGAGATACAACACCTAAACTACTCACGATCAGTAAAGAATAATTAGGCATAATTATAGAAGACGTAGCGGGAAGGATTCTGACAATTAGGGAAATCATAACTCTAGACCTCCTTAATCTTTTCTTCAACCCGTAGTATATCTAATTGTTAATATACTACTTTAATATGTTAGTTAATTAGATATAAGAATCATAATATTTATAACTTAGGAATTGGTCGAGTTTGTCTTCTTAGTGATAGTGAACAACTGTAGCTAAAACTTAGTTCTCTGTGAGATTCGACTCCAGACTCTTAGATCGGTTTATATTTGCAGCGACTGCTTATTCTTTTTAGGACTAGAGTTGGGCGGATCACCAACACTGGCCAAGTATCCAAAACTAGCACCAATCTGGGTGATGAGCTCACAGGGCCTAAAGTAACATGAGTAATCACCTAACTCTGGAGGGACGGATCCATATACAAGCACTGTTATAGCGTGAAACCCAATCCACTAATAATAATATTGCCACGTACAACTCGATCAACTCATATTACAATTGCAGCGTGCAACCCGATCCACTCATAAGACCGTTGCGGCATGCAACCCGTGCCAACCGCAATATTATCAATAATCAATATTTGCTTAGAATATCCTTAGTGCCAAATATCTCAACTTTTCACAATATCTAACTCTCCAACACATGAAT